CAGCTCGTCTATGATAGACTCTCTGACCCTTCAGCTCGTCTATGATAGATTCTCTGACCCTTCAGCTCGTCTATGATAGACTCTTTGACCCTTCAGCTCGTCTATGATAGACTCTCTGACCCTTCAGCTCGTCCATGATAAACTCACTGACCCTTCAGCTCGTCTATTATTGACTCACTGACCCTTCAGCCTTACTGGGCTTCAGCTCGTCTATGATAGACTCTCTGACCCTTCAGCTCGTCTATGATAGATTCTCTGACCCTTCAGCTCGTCTATTATTGACTCACTGACCCTTCAGCCTTACTGGGCTTCAGCTCGTCTATGATAGACTTTCTGACCCTTCAGCTCGTCTATGATAGACTCTCTGACCCTTCAGATCGTCTATGATAGACTCTCTGACCCTTCAGCTCGTCTATGATAGACTCTCTGACCCTTCAGCTCGTCTATGATAGACTCTCTGACCCTTCAGCTCGTCTATGATAGACTTTCTGACCCTTCAGCTCGTCTATGGTAGACTCTCTGACCCTTCAGCTCGTCTATGGTAGACTCTCTGACCCTTCAGCTCGTCTATGATAGACTCTCTGACCCTTCAGCTCGTCCATGATAGACTCACTGACCCTTCAGCTCGTCTATGATGGACTCACTGACCCTTCAGCCTTACTGGGCTTCAGCTCGTTTATGATAGACTCACTGGTCCTCCCGCTCGTCTATGTAGAGTCACGGACCCTTTAGTTCGTCTGTGATAGACTCCCTGGCCCTTCAGCTCGTCTATATACACTCACTGACTTTTTAGCTCTTCAACTCGACTTTGATAAACTTATTGGCCCTTTACCTGGTCTATAATAGGCTCACCAGCCCTACAGCTTGTCGATGATAGCCTTACTGGCCTTCAGCTCACCTATGTTTGAAATTCAAGGCCTTCTAATCGTCTATGATGGACTTATTGACTCAGTATAGCATTCATATGCCGTAGATTGCCATTTGTACAAGGGATTTATACTTCGGGTATAATTAATGTCACAACGTATACGCCAGCCATCCATATCTTATACTAGTGTCATTACATATACATTTATGCTACCACTGTCACTGGCCCTTTAGCTCGTCGATGTTGGACACACTAGTCCTTCAGCCTGTCTGCAATAGAACCACTGTATGTAATAGCCTTTCTCACTGGCCCTTCAACACCTTTATGATCGATTCAAGTGCTCTTCAGCTCGCCTATGATAGATTCATTGACTGTATATTTCTGACCCTTCAGTTAACGTATACGCTACTTACCATATAGTGTATCACACCTTACTGGCCCTTCATCTCGTCTATATGAATCACTGGACCTTCAGTTAGTCTATGATAGACTCCCTGGCCCTTTGTCTTGTCCATGACACACTCACGGCTTTTCTATAGCATCTATACGCCTTAATTTTCTATCTGAAAAGGATTTAATTCTTCTCAAGGCCTTCTATGCGTATAACTACTGTCACAGCGTATACGTCACCCGAAACCAATACTAAATTCATGGAAATAGTAGTAGTGAGCCTTCAGCTCGTCTATGCTAAACTCAGATTTTTTCTCCTCTATAGGCCCTCGAAAAAAATATGTTTAATAAAACCCACACCACTGGAGAACCCTCGAAAAATATTTTTAATAAAAAACGCCTCTATATGCCGACTACGGCCTCTCCTTTGATAATTTTATTAATAAAAAATATGTGAATATTTTTCAGATTTCTGAATTTTATCAAAATGTTGATATGGCCACCCTAAACCTAGATTTTATTTATCGTACACCCAAAGCAACACCTGTTCGCTATCGGCTGCACCAACAGCAGCGCCAGCATTGCAAACTTTTGCCATGAATTTTTGATTGAATTCAATCGAATTGTTATTGAAATTGTTGTGTATATTCCATGGAATTTAAAATTGGGTGTTTTATTTTTTTTTTTTATTTTTTGTCGGTAAAAAACAGGAAGCGGCAAATGCACTGTAAATAATGTAATAAAAATCATTGATGATCGGAATGTATTTAGCATTTAAAAAACTTAGTTAAAATTTTATGTTCGTCGTCAAAACAAAAACCCTCAAAACGATACGAGACAACAAAAAAATCGTGGGAAATTTGGGATTGTCAATTTTGGGATGGTATTCATGGCGAATATTAATTACTTGAAGCCGGTCAGCTGTTTTTGAAGAGATGTATTTAACATTGGGACCTGTAGGAAGCATGCATTTTAATAATACTAACTTGTAGGAGCCTTCCGAGGCATTTATTCCAACCCGTAGGAACCTTTCGAAATGATGATTTAATAAATATCCACGTGTAAGAGCCTCTGGGAACGGTAATGTTAAAAATCCCAACCTGTAGGAACCTCTCGAAACATTAATTTAAAAAATCTAAACTTGTAGGAGCCTCTCGAATTGGTAATGTTAAAAATCCCAACTGTAGGAGACTCTGGTAGCATTAATTTTTATAATACCAATATCCTAACCTGTAGCAGCCTCACGGAGAATAATATTAAAAATTCCAAACCTGTAGGAGCCTCCCGAAAGATTTATTTTAAAAATCTCATTTTTTAGGACCCTCTCAAAATGTTAATATTAAAAAAAAACCTGTAGAAGCATCCCGAAACATTTATTTAAAGAATCCAAACCTGTAGGAGCCTCTCTAAACGTTAATGTTTAAAGTCCCAACCTATAGGAGCCTCTCGAAGCATTAATTTTAATAATCCCAACCTGTAGGAGCTTCTCTAAACATTAATTTCCAAAAATCCCAATTCTAACTTGTGGAAGCCTCTCCAAGTATTATTTTCAATAATCGGTACCTGTACCTGAAAATCCGAACATGTAAGAGCCTCTCGAAACGTAAATGTTAATAACCTCAAAATGTAGGAGCCTCTAGGAGCGTCTCGAAAAAATCCCAAACTGTACAAGCCTCTCGAATCGTTAAAGATAAAAGTCCCAACTTGCTGGAGCCTGCCGATACATTTAACTAATGTCACAACATATTCCCGACCCAAACCTTATACTAAATTCATAGAAAGATGTACTCAACTCGTCAATGATGAACTCACTAACCCTTCAGGTCGATTATATGGAATCAGTACTTCTTCTTCTAATCTATATAGACTCACTGTCCATCCAGCTCGTCTATGAAAGCCTCATTGGCCATTCCGCTAATCTGGATTGATTCACCAGAGCCAGTGACTTCAGCTCGTCTATGATAGCCTTACTGGCCCTTCAGCTCATCTAGATAACCTCACAGGTCCTTCAGCTCATCTGCATAGCCAAACTTGCCCTTCAGCTCATCCACATAGACTCAATTACCCTTCAGCTCGTCCATACAGATTCATTGGTCTTTCAGCTTGCCTATATAGACTCACTTGCCCATTAGCTTGTCCGTGATAGACTCACTGGCCCTTCAGCTTGTCTATGATAGCCTGAATGACCCCTTTAGCTCATCTATGATAGCCTCACTGGCCCTTCACCTCATCTATATAGACTCACTGGCCCTTCAGCTCATCTATGATAGCCTCACTGGCCCTTCAGATCATCTATGATAGCCTCACTGTCCATTCCGCTAATCTAGATAGATTCACTCGTCACTCCACTGGTATAAATAGTCTCGCCGGCCCTTCAGCTAATCTACATAGCCTCTCTGGCTCTTCAGCTAAGGTACATAGTCTGGCTGGCCCTTCAGCTCATCTGCATAGCCTCACTGGCCCTTAGCTCGTCTATGATAGCCTCATTTGTCCTTTAACTAGTCTATGATAGCCTCACTGGCCCTTCCGCTTTTCTACATAGCCTCACGGGCCTTCAGATTATCTACATGGCCTCACTGGCCCTTAAGCTCGTCTATGATAGTCTCACTGGCCCTTCAGCTCGTCTATGATAGACTCACTGGCCCTTCAGCTAGTATATGATATCCTCACTTATCATTCAGCTCATCTACATAGACTCACAGGCCCTTCAGCTCGTCTACATAACCTCACTGGCGCTCCAGCTCATCTGCATACACTCACTGGCCCTTCAGCTCATATATGACTACTCCACTGGCCCTTCAGCTCGTCTATGATAGCCTCACTGGTCCTTCAGCTAGTTTATGAACGCCTCACTTACCCTTCAGCTCATCTACATAGCCTCACTGGTCCTTCAGCTAGTTTATGAAAACCTCACTTAACCTTCAGCTCATCTACATAGCCTCGCAGGCCCTTCAGCTCATCTACATAACCTCACTGGCTCTTCAGTTCCTCAACACAGTCTCAATGACTCTATAGCTCTTCTATGATAGCCTCACTGTCCCTTCGGGTCGCCTACAAAGATTCACAGTCCCTTCAGCTTCTCTACATAATTTCACTGGCTCTTCAGCTCGTCTATGATAACTTCACTAGTCCTTCAGCTCGTCTATGATATCCACACTAACCCTTAGCTAATCTACATAGCCTCACAGGCCCTTCAGTCCATTTGCATAGCCGCACTGGCCCTTCAGCTCATCTACATAGCCTCACTGACCATTCCGCTAATCTGCATAGCTCAATTGGCCTTTCAGCTAATATACGTAGTCTCGCTGGCCCTTCAGCTCTGCTACATAGCCTCTCTGGCCCTTCAGCTCATCTACAAAGCATCACTAACCCTTCAGTTCGCCTCGTGTCTTTCATGCTACCTCAGCTCTTCTTTGACAGACTCTTGGGCTCTTCCGATCATCTGTGATAGGCACGCTGCCTCTTTGCATCTTCCATGTGCCTCAGATTGTCTACGAAATATATATTTAATTTCTCAGAGCCTCTGGTGCGTATAACTGCTATCACAACGTATACGTCACCCCCATACCAAAACTAAATTCTTACATATTTTAAATAAAAAACATTAATATTTGAAATATAACCACACAATTTATTTATTAATTAATTTTTTAATCGAACCAAAAAAAGTCAAGAAAACCACAACACACATCAATAAAATTACCACACATCACCCTCCGAATTTCCGTAAAATCTTACCCTCTTAACCCATGCTAAACATTTTCAAATTATTAAAACCCTTTGATTTATCAATGCTGCCATTGATACGACCCTTGAGCAACATTTCCACATCTCCTGGTGCCGCCGCTCTCCTCCTCATATCCATTTGTAGATCCACATAGAAATGCGTTTCGGGAACATATTGTGGTAATAGCTCTTCATCAATATTATAATTGCGTAATGTAAAAACCGAATTCTTCTTCAAAGGGCAATTTCTAATAAATGAATCCTGTTTGAGGATATCTTCATAGTGGCGACGAAAACCCATACCATCGGGACGTTCCTGAAGAAATTTACAAAATTCAATTTTCCGTTTCACAATTGTGGTAAAGTTATTCGGTTGATCGCCCTCAATTGCCACATCATAGTTGAGGACAATGTCATCAATATCCGACAAGACATTTAGCATAATATTTAGAGTGGTCTCACCGGTGGTGTTTTGTATCTGAATATTGGCTTTCAGGTGTTTGGGATTGACTTCATACTCGAAGGTGGTAAAGATGATTTTGTAGGAACGCTAAAATATAGAGAAAGAGAGAGAGAGAAATTAAAAAGGGCAGTAATATTTTAAACTTTAATATGCTATGAAAAGCGACTTTAAAACTGCTCAGCTCGTCTATGCTAGCCTCGCTGGCCATTCAGCTTTTGTAAATATCTTTACTGACCCTTCAGATCGACCATGATATCCTCACTGGCCCTTCAGCTAATCTACATAGTCTCACTGGCCTTTCAGAACGTCTATGACAGTCAGACTGACCCTTCAGCTAATATACATAGCCTCACTTGCCCTTCAGCTTGTCCACATAGACTCAATGACCCTTCTGCTCGTCCATACAGATTCATTGGCCCTTCAGCTTGCTTATATGGACTCACTTGCCCTTCAGCTCGTCTATTATAGATTCACTGGTACTTCAATTCATCTGCATAGCCTCACTGGCCTTTAGCTCATCTACATAGACTTACAAGTCCTTCAGCTCATCTAAATAGACTTACAAGTCCTTCAGGTCATCTACATAGCCTCACTGGCCCTTCATCTCATCTATAATAGCCTCACCTGCCCTTCATCTCATCTATGATAGCCTCACAGGCCGTTCAGTTTATCTACATACCGTCACTGACCCTTCTGAATATCTACATAAACTCACTAGACCTTCAGCTCATCTACATAGCCTCACAATACAGGCGTGAGGACAACTTCTTCTCGTCTATAATAAAATCGCTTACTCTCCAGCTCGACTATACCCGATTCAGTGGCTACAGCTCCCTGGATCTTCAGTTCGGCTATGATAGACACACTGACCCTTCAGCTCGCCTATGGTAGACTCCCTGGCCCTTCAACGCGTCTACTATAGACTCATTGACCCTTTAGATAGATTGTTTAGGGTAATCCATGCGTATAACTATTGTCACAACGTATACGCCACCCAAACCAATAATCCGGGGTCAATGACCCTAAATCCGTATTAAGCCTTAATCGGGGGTCAATTACCCTTAATACGGATTAAGCCAAATCCGTATTAAGTCTTAATGACCCTTGATCCGTATTAATTCTTTATCCGGGGCCAATGACCCGTAATCCGGATTCCGCAGATGGTCTATCTTCGGCGTATGGAAGCTATAAAGAGAGAGTGCGTCAATCACAGATGATCGGAAGGGTCCAAGAGTCTATCACAGACTGAGAAGAGTCAGTCTGTCTGTCATAAAAGAGCTACAGGACCAGTGAACCTGTTATAGATTAACTGAAGGATAAGTGATTCTATATAGATGAGCTGAATAACCAATGAATTTCCACCGGCGAACTGAATGTCCATGAAGACGATTGAAGGGTAATTGCGGCTATTTAGATGAGTTGAAGGACCAGTGAGAATCCGTAGATGAGCAGAAGGGTCATTGAGGCTGAAGGCCAATGAAGCTATTGGCTGAAGGCCAATGAAGCTATGCAGATGAGCTGAAGGACCTGTGGGGCTATCACAGACAAAGGGTAATTGAGGCTATTCAGATGAGTTGAAGGACCGTAGATGAGCAGAAGGGTCAGTGGGGCTGAAGGCCAATGAAGCTATTGGCTGAAGGCCAATGAAGCTATGCAGATGAGCTGAAGGACCTGTGGGGCTATCACAGACAAACTGTAGGTCCTGTGAGTCTTTATAGATACGCAATAGGGTCGGTGAGGCTATGCAGATGATCTGAATGGCCAGTGAATCCATGTAGAAGAGCTAAAGGGCAAGTGAAGCCATGATAGACGATCTCAAGCTCGTCTATGATTACAGAGAAGTAATCATAGACGAGCTAAAATTGAAGGGCCAATGATGCTATGCAGATGAGCTGGAAGACTTGAGAGGCTATGTAGATGAGCTGATGGGTCAGTGAGGCTACCATAGACTAGCTGCAGGGCCAGAGAAGTTATGTAGAGAAGCTGAAGGCCCAGCGAATCTATGTAAATTGAAGGGCCAATGATGCTATGCAGATGAGCTGGAGGACTTGAGAGGCTATGTAGATGAGCTGATGGGTCAGTGAGGCTACCATAGACTAGCTGAAGGGCCAGAGAAGTTATGTAGAGAAGCTGAAGGCCCAGCGAATCTATGTAGATGAGCTGAAGGACCAATGAATCGATATGGACAACTAAAAGGGACACAGACGCTATCATAAAAAGGATCAGTGAGGCTATGTACATGAGCCTACAGACGAACTGTAGGGCCTGTGAGCTTTTATAGATGAACAGAAGGTTCGTTGAGGCTATGCAGATTATCTGAAGGGCCAGTGAGTCTATGTAGAAGAGCTAAAGGGCAAGTGAAGCTATAATAGACAATATGAAGGACCGATGAGGATATCATGACCAGTGAAACAATCACAGACGAGCTGATGGATCCGTGAGGCTATGTAGATGAGCTGAAGGCCAGTAAGGCTACGTAAAAAAACTAAAGGGCCATTGAGGCTATCATAGACGAGCTGAAGGCTATGCAAATGAGCTGAGGGACCTATGAAGTTATATAGATGAGCTGAAGGGTCAGTGAGGTTATCATAGATGAGCTGAAGGGCCTGTGAAGCTATATAGATGAGCTCAAAAGCCAGCGAATCTAAATAGATGAGCAGAAGAGCCATGGAGGCTATCATAAACGAACATATTAAGGTGTATGGATGTTTTAGAGAGGTAATGAGTATATATGATTGACCTGAAGGGTCAGTGCGTCCATCGTAGACGAGTTGAGTACATCTTCCCATGAATTTAGTGTAAGATTTTAGTGACGTATACGTTGTGACATTAGTTTTACGTATTGGAGACCCTAACAATAAATACATTTCTTGTAGATAGAGAATATAAGGCATATGGAGACTAAATAGTGCAGATTTTTTTAAAAATTATTCAAAGGCATAGATTTTTTAAAAATTATTTTTGAAGTTATTCAAAGGTGCCTATTGTAGTTAGCAAAAAATAGTTTATAAAAAAATCCAAGCCTAAGATTATCTTTCAAATATTTTTTTTAATCCGTAATAATTGAGATCTTTAAATTTCTCTTTGTCTTCTTTCCCCATTGTTATCTTCGTTTCCTCCTAACCATTATTGCCTTCCTTCAATATTTTTTAATTAACAAAAAATCGTTTCCGAATCTTAGAAATCATAAATGAAACATCTTTGCCGTTTGGTACCCAGCGAGCCAGTCAGTCATTGTTTTCTAAGAAAATTGTGAAGACAAACACCAAGGGAAAAAAATCTCTCTCTCACACACACACATACACACTTATACAACCTTAGAATCTAAGAAAAACCGAACCACAAAATAGAGGCAAATAAAAATTGCAGGAAACTTACCCAAGCCAAACAGTTTTGATTACAAAACAATAAAACCGCACCGAATGTAATTAAAAATTTCAAAATTTCCCACTTCATGGTTTGGGTTCGGAAAGATTTCAGATTTTGTTTTTTTTTTCGTTGGTGGTCTTTGAGTGTTGTTTTTTTTACTTTGATAATAGAAATGGAAGTAATGAGAAGTGTAGCCAGCTATAAAGCACTTGTAAAGAAATCCATGGAGGATTGAAAACAAAAACGGAATTAAGTAATCAGAAATAATATTGAAAATTAAAATCGGAAATCTTGGGTAGGAATGATGGCTAATTTGTTATTGATTTATTTATAATTTTCGTAATTAAAAAAAATATACAGTAATAGAAAACAATGTAAATAATAAACTAATTATAAAACAATTATGGGGTGTATTAAAAAAATATTATTTTTTTAAATTACCAATATTTTTAAAAAATATTTTTTGAAGTACTCATAAGAATGGATTTTTAAAAAAAAAAATTTTGTGTATCCACTAGGCGTAGATTTTTAAAAAATATTATTTGGTTCACCCATACAGCGTGGGTGGCGTAGGGGATGATGGATACCAAGCAACGGCTCTGAGTGGATTTAACATGGCGAAGTCCAGGCTTATCTTGGTCCCTCTTTCATCTCAATTGTGAACACTGACCTCCCCGCGGTGTCACCTGGGTTAGCTATTTTTCATCACCCGATGAAATAGTGAGCAATATGTACCGCGAGTTCAGCCATAAGAACTATAAACAAGTGAAAAAGCATTAAGTTCGGCCGGGCCGAACTTTGGATACCCTCCACCATAGCTATACTAACAGATACATGCAATGGAAATATAGGGAACATACCAAAAAGTGGGCACATACCGATAATTCTACAAGTGGGCATATACCAATATGTAAACCATTATGTACACCAAATACACCAAATTCAGCAATTTTTACTATGAAGTTTTCCTAAAATCTGTAAGATCCAAAAAGTGGACTGATACTGGTAACGCATGGTAGAGTATAAAATCCTCAAACTACTGTAATTTAGATTACAAAGTTATGTGAGGCTATGACTAAAGGGGGGCCAATATTGATTACATAGTGCAGGAAATAGTGGATATTTGGGGATATCATTATATGTGGGCTATGCCTAATTAATGACCGGTATATGCCAATTTTGAACCCAATATTTTAATTGTTTATCTCAATTCTTTTCTTCAGGTGGTATCACTATATTGAGGAGATGCCTTCACGAATCTTGGCAGACATCATTCTCGATCTTATTCATAACTCTGTGCCAAATTTCATGCACATCAAAAGATTTCCAGGGACTTTAGTAGACTATTTACCTAAAATCGGGCGAAGCTATATATGGGAGCTATATCTAAATCTGAACCGATTTTCACGAAACTCTGCACACATCATTCTATACTTAATTTAGTACGCTGTGTCAAATTTCTTGCAAATCGAAAGATATATAGGAACTTTGGTAAACAATTAACCTTAAATCGGACGAAGATATATATGGGAGCTATAGCTAAATCTGAACCGATTTTCGCGAAACTTTGCACACATCATTCGTGACCATATTCATTACGCTATGCCACATTTCATGCAAGTCAAAAGATTTCCAAGGACTTTAATTGACTATTTACCTAAAATCGGGCGAAGCTACATATAGGAGCTATATCTAAATCTGAACCGATTTTCTCAAAACTTTTCACACATCATTCTAGACTAAATTCAGTACACTATGCCAAAATTTGTGCAAATCAAAAGATTTCCAGGTATTTTAGTGGACTACTTACCTTAAAACGGGCGAAGCTATATATGGGAGCTATATCTAAATCTGAACCGATTTTCACGAAACTTTGCACACATCATTCTATACTTAATTTCGTACTCTGTGTCAAATTTCGTGCAAATCGAAAGATATATAGGGTCATTGGTGCACCATTTACCTTAAATCGGACGAAGATATATATGGGAGCTATATCTAAATCTGAACCGATTTTCGCGAAATTTGCACGCATCATTCGTGACCTTATTCTTTACGCTATGCCACATTTCGTGCAAATCGAAAGATATATGGGGTCATTGGTGCACCACTAACCTTAAATCGGACGAAAATATATATGGGAGCTATATCTAAATCTGAACCGATTTTTCCCAATTTCAATAGGGTTCGTCCTTGGGCCAAACAAATGAGCTGTGCCAAATTTCATCAAATTCGCATCATAAATGCGACCTGTTTACAATTTAACATGGACAGACGGACGGACGGACATGCATAAATCGTCTTAGAAAGTGATTCTATGCATATTATCAAAAGGAATCATGGGTTTATCTCGATTATTTTTGCCTGTTACAAACATATGCACAAGGACATAATACCCTGTACCCAAGTGTGGTGAAGGGTATAAAAAGGGGGTTATATGGCGACTACCCCTAAAAAGCGGTGAATATTAATAATTTTTGTTGGGGAGATTTGTTACCATATACGACTACAAAATACCAATTTTCAGGGAATTCGGTTGAAAACCGCGCTCAAGAACCCCGAAATACCGAAAATTGGGGGTACCCTTATATGGGGGGCTACCCGAAAAAATTGATCTATATTTATAATTTTTGGTGGAGAGATTTGCTACCCAATAAGAACTCAAATTACTAAATTACAGCCAATTCCGTGAAAAAATCCGGTCGAAACCCCCCAAAAACTTCAAATTGGGAGGTACCCTTATATGGGCGCTACCAGAAAAAGTGGACCTATATTTATAATTTTTAGTGAGGAAATTTGGTACCCAATAAGAACCCAATGTACCAAATTTCAGCGAATTCGGTTGAAAAACGCGCTCAAGAACCCCGAAATACCGAAAATTGGGGGTACCCTTATATGGGGGGCTACCCGAAAAAATTGATATATATTTATAATTTTTGGTGGAGAGATTTGCTACCCAATAAGAACTCAAATTACTAAATTACAGCCAATTCGGTGAAAAAATCCGGTCGAAACCCCCCAAAAACTTCAAATTGGGAGGTACCCTTATATGGGCGCTACCAGAAAAAGTGGACCTATATTTATAATTTTTAGTGAGGAAATTTGGTACCCAATAAGAACCCAATGTACCAAAATTTCAGCGAATTCGGTTGAAATCCGCGATCAAGAACCCTAAAATACCGAAAATTGGGGGGTACCCTTATATGGGGGCTACCCGAAAAAAATTGACCTATATTTATAATTTTTAGTGGATAGATTTGCTAACCAATAAGAACTCAAATTACTAAATTACATCCAATTAGGTGAAAAAATCCGGTCAAAACCCCCCCAAAAACTTCAAATTGGGAGTTACCCTTATATGGGCGCTACCAGAAAAAGTGGACCTATATTTATAATTTTTAGTGAGGAAATTTGGTACCCAATAAGAACCCAATGTACCAAAATTTCAGCGAATTCGGTTGAAATCCGCGATCAAGAACCCTAAAATACCGAAAATTGGGGGGTACCCTTATATGGGGGCTACCCGAAAAAAATTGACCTATATTTATAATTTTTAGTGGATAGATTTGCTACCCAATAAGAACTCAAAGTACCGAATTTCAGCGAATTCGGTCGAAAAATGCGATCACCCCCCCCCCCCCAAATACCACAAAATTGGTGGTACCCTTATATGGGGGTGATCCGAAAATATGGACCCATACTTATAATTTTTAGTGGACAGATTTTCTACCCAATAAGAACTCAATTTACCAAATTTCAGCGAATTCAGTTGAAAAACGCGCTCAAGAACCTCAAAATACCGAAAATTGGGTGGTACCCTTATATGGGAGCTATGCCTAAACGTGGACCGATAAAGCCCATCTTCGAACTTGATTGGCGATCTATCTCAATTCGTTTAGACGCTAGAGTAATTACAACAGACAGACGGACAGACAGACAGACAGACAGACATGGCTATATCGTCATAGAATTTTACGCTGATCAAGAATATATATACTTTATAGGGTCGGAAATGATTATTTCGATAAGTTACAAACGGAAAAACAAAATTTATAAACCCTCCATACTATGATGGAGGGTATAAAAATGGATTGAAGCTTCGGGTTAGTTGCCCACTCTCGGAAAACCGAACCTACTATGAAAAAGCAAAGAAAAAGCAAACCAAACCCACATAATGTTGATGACTCCCGCAAACGAATAAAGGACCACGATCTGCGAATCTGCACTTGGAATGTGTGCACGTTTTACAGAAGAGGCGCAGTGTTTGCTTTGGCGGATGTACTCAAAATTTGTTAAACCCTATTTTTTGTCAATCAAATAATTATTTTAAAAACAATTTTCCAATCTTTTATTTCCAATCTCCCCCACAAAACAAACCCTAGTCATGCGGAAAATATGTCATGCGTTTAAAATTGTCCCCGAGTGGTCTGCCATTAGACCATAATTTTCAAGATGTAGTTATCGATAACAGAGGGCCATTAGATGATTAGTTAGTTTTTTCCACTGAATTAAAAAAATGAAAATGTGCCGACCTATAAAAGCAGCCATCAGTTGGAGGAAAATTATCAAAACGCATTTTTTGTTCGAACTGAGCCTATCGGAATTTTTCAAAATAAGAGTTTAACTTTATTTCGTTCAGAAAATAAAAAAATGGCATCGGGGAATTGGTTAATCTGTGTGACATTGGCCTTAGTGGCCATCGTGTCTGTACAAGCTGAGGTAAATAAGGGCGGGGATACTGCAGAGCGGGATTGAGAGTTCTAATTTTATTAATCTACCCCTTGTAGTTTCTTTAAATTTTTTTTTTTTAAATCCACGCCTTTGGATAACTTCAAAAAATATTTTTTTAAAAAATCCATGGCTGTGGATACTTCAAAAAATATTTTTTTAAAAAATCCATGGCTGTGGATACTTCAAAAAATATTTTCTTTTTTAAAAATCCATGCCTTTGGACAACTTCAAAAAATATTTTTTTAAAAAATCCATGCCTTTGGATAACTTCATAAAATACTTTTTTTTAAAAAAATTCACGCCTTTGGAAATCCTAAAAAAAATATTTTTTTAAAAAATCCACGCCTTTCTAAAAAATATTTTTCCAAAGATCCAAAGGCGTGGATTTTTTAAAAAATATATTTTTTTAAATCCACGCCTTTGGATAACTTAAAAAATATTTCTTAACAAATCCACGCCTTTGGATAACTTCAAAAAATATTTTTTTTAAAAAATCCACGCCTTTGGATAACTTCAAAAAATATTTTTTTAAAAAATCCACGCCTTTGGATAACTTAAAAAAAATATTTTTTAAAAAATCCATGCCTTTGGATAACTTCAAAAAAATTTTTTTTTAAAAATCTTCGCCTTTGGATAACCTCAAAAACTATTTTTTTAAAAATCCACGCTTGCGGATTTTTTTAATTATCTCTTTTTTTTCAAACATTCCAGAAAGTAATGCGTCCCAAATTCAAAGATGTCAAGCTGTGGTCGGATGACAAACATATTTCCCACTCCATCAAATTTGATGCCAGTGATCCGCATATCAACTATACCTTGGATGTTTTGCAAGAGCTGCACGACATCGATATTAGCCTCCAGTTAATGGCAACCCAAAAAATGGACCCCACCTACCATCTGGCCGTGAATACCACCCTGAATTTGTGTCGCATCTTAAATTGGCATACCAAATCCCCTATTGGTTCTATTGTGGCAACATTCCTGCGGGAGTATGGCAACATTATGGACAAATGCCCAGTGGCTAAGGTAAGTGTGAGGCGATTTTCGATTTCAAAAATTCGAGAATTTATTTTTCCTAACCAAAAATTTTGAATAGGGAAAAATTAAAATGAAATTACGTCTCTACCGTAAATTACAGGGTCAATATTATATGCACAAATTCTGGATACCAGAGGACACTTCATTGGCCACCTTGCCGGAAATTGATTTTGTGGTGAATTTCCAGGCCTATCATGTCGATGCTGGCAAACAAAAGACAATGATTTTGAATGATCACATCACTGGGGAGGTTGTGGTGCAAGATGTGAATAATGTGAAACCGGGTCTGTTGGCCTTGTTGCCCAAGGTACCAGGAGGTTAGGTGTCACCAGGTGAAAAAATGGACATTTGCGGATTTTTTTGCTTTTAAATCGTACCAAAATTTAGCTTCCTAACTTTTTTGTTCCCATTCTTTGTCTAAGTGTCTAAACAATGTAGTCGGTTTTCATAAATAAATAAAAAAATCAGAATTTTGAAATGGGATGCACCGCAAAAAATACACTCAAGAAATTTTGAATTTATTTTTCCAATCGGAACAGTGGCAATAATCTGCTGGAATATTTTATTTTTAGCTTAGGTAGAATTGGTCACTTGGCTTGAATTGAATAAAAATAGGAGTGGATTTAAAAAAATATTTTTTGTTGACTACAAGGAAAGTAGTAAAGTCGGACTGGGCCGACTATATGATACCCTTCACCACTTTGGATATATTCTACATATCCATCCTAATATACGTCGCCTTTTCGAAGGAATACTTATTACAGTATGTTGTGTCAATTGGCGTAGCAATAGGTCGTTAGTACACAATTTAAATTAAATCGTACGAAAATATATATATAGGAGCTATAGCTAAATCCGAACCGATTTTCACGAAACTTATCACATATCATTCTCGACCTAATTTAATACCCTATGCAAAATTTCGTGTAAATCGAATGACATATAGGGACTTTGGTGCACCATTAACCTTAAATCGGACGAAAATATATATGGGAGCTATAACTAAATCTGAACCGATTTTCACGAAACTTAACACACATCATTCTAGGCCTAATTCAGTACGCTGTGCCAAGTTTCGTGTCAATCGGCAGATATATAGTGACCTTGGTGCACCATTTACCATAAATCGGACGAAAATGTATATGAGAGCTATATCGAAATCTGAACCGATTTTCACGAAACTTAACACACATCATTCTAGGCCTAATTCAGTACGCTGTGACAAGTTTCGTGTCAATCGGCAGATATATAGTGACCTTGGTGCACCATTTACCATAAATCGGATGAAAATGTATATGAGAGCTATATCTAAATCTGAACCGATTTTCACGAAATTTATCTTACATTGTTCTAGACTTATTTAGTACGCTATGCACAATTTCGTGCAAATCGATGGATATAAAGGGACTTTAGTGCACTATTTACCTTAAATCGGAGGAAAATATATATGGGAGCTATAACTAAATCTGAACCGATTTTCACGAAACTTAACACACGACATTCTGGACTTAATTCAGTACGCTGTGCCAAAATTTGTGCAAATCGAATGATTTTCAGGGACCTTGGTGCTCCATTTACCTAAAATCGGGCGAAAATATATATGGGGGCTATATCTAAATCTGAACCGATTTTCACGAAACTTAGCACATATCATTCTAGACTTAATTCAGTACGCTATGGCAAAATTCGTGCAAATCGAAAGATTTTCAGGGGCTAAAGTCCGTAAATCGGACAAAGATATATATATATATATATGGGAGCTATATCTAAATCTGAACCGATTTTTCCCAATTTCAATAGGGTTCATCCTTGGGCCAAATAAATGAGCTGTACCAAATTTCATCTAAATCGGATTATAATGCTACCTGTCCTTTGTTTACAATTTAACATCAACAGACGGACGGATAGGCATATTCTCAAAAGGAACCATGGGTCTATTTCGATTCCTTTTGCCTGTTACAAACATATGCAAAAAGACATAATACCCTGTACCACAGTGTGGTGAAGGGTATAAAAGCGGAAGAAGGAAAAGAAAAATATTATATTATTAGGAATTCTGATTTGAAGAGGGTAGCCGGAGAAATTGTGCCACCTCTATTGGCTTAAGCCATAAGTCTATAGGCAATAGACTCTTACGCTCGGACGGACAATTGTGTCGTGAGGGCTTTGCTGGCCGGATGAGCACTTGTTTAGGGTTCCGGGGACAATGAGCTCTCGATACGAGTTGAGTACATTGCTGTATCCGGACTTTAGTTGTGCCAGAATTGAACGGGTTTGCCTAGGCGTAGAAGCCTCTCACTCACCGAAATTGTAGCAGGATGTTGTTGTAGGACTTTATAGCACCTGTTGCCATTTATGGCTTCGGAGACAGGAGGATGTTGTTGTAGGTCTTTATTGCATATGTTACCATTTATGGCTTCGGACACCGCCAGTTGATGCATGGATTTCATCGCGTTCGCTATCGATAATCTGTTGACGTCCGATGGAATGAAGTGTTGGATGCCATCACGATAGCGCCTGAAGTCGTGGCGGATGTGTCACGGAGGTTGATCTGCCATCACTGGGTGATGGTTAGGATGACACGGCAGATAGCATGCCAGCATCAAGCAACATAATGTGTTGTTGACTGACAGCATCCTGGTCTCCTCATGGAGATAATTGACGCTCGTTATCAGGACACAGCCGGTTGCAATTCGTAGTGCATTATTTTGGTTTGTTTGCAAGGATCTCCATTGTATGACGCTAAGGAAAGAAGTCCAGACTGGGGCAGCAGAATTCAGGATCGAACGACCTATAGCCTTATAAGTCGTAACCAACATTTCTTTATCCTTGTCCCAGGAGGTGCCAGCCAAACCTTTCAAAACGTTATTCCTAGCTTTCACCTTCTGGTTGATGTAATTGGAATGCGAGGAGAAATGAAGGAGGCTATCGAAGACCAACCCAAAGATTTTCGGATTATGGATGGTGGGAATGCGCCTACCTTCAACGGAAATGTCAAGTTCTAGATTGACTTCTCGCGTCCAGGAAGTGACACAGTAGACTTTCCAGTGGATAATTTTAGATTGCTCTCGCCGGAAGAAGTCTGTGATATGTTGCGTGGATTTCCATAGGCTAAGTCCTAAAATAAATCCAAAAAAAAAAAAATTGTGTGGAAGTACCTTAGAGTGTGGTCGTTTCACCTACGTGGCAGCCACAATCCACGATATTTCCACCAGTTCCCAATATTGAGTATAGTTGGGGGAACCGGTGGGAGCTGTTGTAAATGCGGCGGGCCACTGTAATGCCTCTCATGGCCTACCTTATTCACTAATAACATTTCTCATAGGTAGTTTTTATACCCTCACCATAGTATGGAGGGTATCCACAGGCATAGATTTTTAAGATAATCATTGTTTGAAGTTATCCAAGGACGTAGGTTTGTTAAAAAAATATTTTTTTAAAGTAATGCAGAAGCGTAGATGTTTTAAAAATATTTTTTTAATTAATCCACTGGCGTACAATTTAAAAAAAAATTTACTCTTTGATTTGTTTTCTTCCGAATTCGATATTCCACCTATTAAATATTTTCTCTTCCCCCACGTTCCCCATTTCCTCTAATTCCTAACATGACCAATTAAAAGTTTTGTATTTTTTGTTCTGTTCCACCGGAATTCCTTCAACGCTTCAATTGAAATTATTCGAATTTGTATGTTCACAGACCAGTATTCGAAATATTTGATTGTTGTTGTCGTTGTTGTTGATAAGCGACAAAAGGTAAGCATCAGTCATTGGAAAAAATATTCCATTTAGAAAGTTTTTTTATTATTCTCTCTTCCCTCACATTCTCCAAATATTTTAAAACAATAGCTGTAGTTTGAAAAATTTAATTGCTCTACGATATTTCTGTGAGGTTAAGGGGAGAAGTACTTTTACACCCACCCATTGGTAATTTTGTGCAGACCATTGATGTGTACATAGGAGACTGGATATTGGAGAAGGGAAAGAAATCAATAATGTGCTAGGAACTTCAAAAAAATATATTTTTAAAAAATCCACGCCTTCTATAAACTTTAAAAATATTTTTTAAAAAATCCACGCCTTCTAGGAACTTAAAAAAATACTTTTTTTTAAAAAACCACGCCTTCTAGAAACTTCAAAAATATTTTTAAAAAAATCCACGCCATCTAGGAACTTAAAAAATATTTTTACAAAAATCCACACCTTCTAGGAACTTCAAAAACTATTTTTAAAAATTTTCACGCCTTCTAGGAACTTCAAAAAATATTTTAAAAAAAATCCACGCCTTCCAGGAACTTCAAAAAATATTTTTAAAAAAATCCACGCCTTCTAGGAACTTCAAAAAATATTTTTAAAAAATTTCACGCCTTCTAGGAACTTCAACAAGTATCTTTAAAAAAATCCACGCCTTCTAGGAACTTCAAAAAATATTTTTTAAAAAAATCCACGCCTTCTAGGAACTTCAAAAAATATTTTTTAAAAAAATCCACGCCTTCTAGGAACTTTAAAAAATATTTTTAAAAAAATCCTCGCCTTCTAGGAGCTTTAAAAAATATTTTTAAAAAACGCCACGCCTTCTAGGAACTTCAAAAAATATTTTAAAAAAAATCCACGCCTTCTAGGAACTTTAAAAAATATTTTTAATAAAAATCCACGCCTTCTAGGAACTTTAAAAAATATTTAAAAAAAAAATCCACGCCTTCTAGAAACTTCAAAAAATATTTTGTTTTTAAAAATCCACGCTTGATTTTTTAAAGTCCCAGACTTTTAATTCTCAATTAGTATTTTTTAATAAGTAATTTAAATTTTCTGGTAATTTTAAAAAATTGCGAAATTTTAGAAAGTTATCCCAACTATCTCTCCAGTCCACAATTAAAATAAAAAATCTGAAAATTGTGCAAATTCGAAAAAAATATTCAAATAATATGGTGTGATTGACCACACAGTAGACCATTAGACTTTGCGAAATTATTCCAACAGAATTTTAATTTTTAGATTTTTTTCTCACACACTGGCCCGCTTGGTCATGATTAAAAAAATAGCAAATGACGTCAGCTTTCAAACTTCAATAAAGCGAAATTTTTGCAAACAACTATTGGAAATTCAAAACGAAGTGGCAAAAAATTTTGCATTCAAATAAAAAAATCAAAGAGAAAAAATTCATAAAAAAAAATTAGGCCACCCATCATAGAGGAGATCTGTTAAATATTCCAAAATCGTATTCACTAAGTGTATAAAATTCAAATAAAAATAAAATTATTTTTTTGTTGTTGTTGGTTTCAAACCCCACCAGCCATAGAGGTGTTTGATGTTTGGAAAGAGTTT